ATTTTCCACCCCCCACCCCACCCTTTCAACATCCCCCCCGCCAAAACCCGTTTCAATTTCAGCTTGCATTCGAATACCTAATGCAGCAGCGGCAAGCTTGCTGGATACCTTTGCGAGGCTCCTTCATCTGCGACAGGAGACGTGCAGGCAACACGCACCACCTTCGAGCGCGCTTCACACTGACAACCGCCACGAGTCACTAGTATTCTACGCCTAAATGGTATAGAACGCACGGGAACAAATGGGGTAGTCGATCGATAAAATGGATCGCAGCATGACCGAAACGTCCGAGTTGCCAGCTTCCATTCTTTTGCATGATAAAAAGACGCAGTTGTATATGAAACTGTGGGACACTTAAAACTTTTGATATCAGGACCGTCTTATTATTTTTAAAGATTCAGTCCGTACCGCAAAGAAAACACCACTCATAACACAAGCCAACCTAAACTGAACGGAATTTTGAACTGACAGTGCTCGTTGAAACAAGGAGAGATCTCTTACGACTTTGTTTAAGACATTGGTGGTATAATTCCTAAAACTGTAAAAAAGAAAAATCCTAGGCAGAGTTTGAAACCGAGAAGACAAATTATACTCACTGCCTTACGGTTTTAGGGAATTTGTATAATTCCTGGGCATTATATAAAATATCGGATTTGGTAATTAGCCTATACCATACAGCACTGAAGGAAAATACCAGTAAAAATATCAAAATACTAATTACATTGAAGAAATTCGAAAACCATAGCATAAAAGCCAAGGAATAATTATAAAATTAGATTCATTTTCAAGTTACCCTGGCTTACTTCACCACAGACTTCTGAGCGTACTGAAAATAAGAAACGATGTTTTCCTGTGTTGTGAGGAGGTAAGCTGGGATTACGCGACGCTACAACCCAGAAGAAGGACAACTTTCATGACTGCCTCTTTCAGATTCGACTTAGAAGTGAAGTCACAGACAACTCGCGTTCAAAAAAAAACCTACTCTTCCGTGACAATGTGAACTGCGCTTCGATGCAGAATCCAAACATTTCCTCCACTTTGCTCTTATGTGTCACTGGCAATCTAAATAATTATTATACCTGCGGTTTTCATCTCCTACGACCGAGACATTCCGTCACTTGAATACGAGATGTGTATGTATTAAGTCTGAAGGACTAATTTTAAATTATGTACATCTCTCACATTTAAGTGGGTTTATCTCTGCCAATATTCTAGTCCCTTTTCTGATTATTTACGTCTGTCTCATTTCTAGAAGTTCCGTGTAATAAAATTGTGATGAAAGCAGCCGAAGGCAGATTAATTAAGACTGCATGTTTACAGACGTGTTACAAGCAAAGGACGAAATGGTGTTGTTTCAAATGTTCAGAAATTGTACAAAAATTCCGAGAACCGTGGGGCAAAGTTTTTGTATTTCTGCTTGTCACAAACTTTGCCCCCCCCAAAAAAAAAGAAAAGAAAAAAGAATCAAAATGTGTCCATTCGATGACCGTGTGCATTTCGAGCCCAGGAATCGTTTACCACCGCTCTGGCGACCGGACTACATTTTCTCCCGGAACAAACAGGGACCTGGACGGAGTCTGCGGTTTGTTTTCCCGTCGTGTAAGCTGATTACATTGCTCGATGCGTTGTGGTCGGATAAAGATACAGCTACACAGCGCAGCGGAGGGGGTATCTCTGCAAAAGTGCGTCAGTAAACAGCTTCCTCTGTCTACCTTTCGCCAAATATCGTATCTCTTTCAAAATCAGAATAATTTCATCGCCTAAATTCTTACCCACAAACTATTTTTTAAAAAAAATAATTTGCGTAATGGCGAACTGGTTACATCAGAATATTTCAGACACGTGTTATAGAATGCTTAAGTCAGATAAGACAGACTAGGCTAAGTCACATTAAAGGTGGACTGCAGACTTCATCAGTCCTAGGACCTCCCGAATACTCAACAAGGCACAGCAACCATTTATCTGCCATCTGTCGTATTTTACATAAAATTCATTTTAATATTATCCTACATACACCAACGTTTCCAAAGTATTGCCTTATCCTTTACCGTCGTAAAATTCGTGTATTAATTGATATGAAGATAACTACGTATTTAATTATGAATAGTTCTACTTAAGCCTGAAGGTTTTCAGATAGATAAGACTTCTCAGCACGAAGCTGACACCACAAAACTATTTAAAACCACTTAAAAGACACGTGTGTTTAATTACGGCTTGGATAATATTTGCCCCTTAATTTACGCCGTCCGCGATGCGTCTCATTACATTTTGAAGGAGTCAACAACACACAAATTCCCCTCTTCCCTCAGCTCCACCCGTTCCTCGCTTCTTACCAGAATTGAGACCTATCCTATGATTATATCCAATCACCCCAGAGGACCCGTAGGGCATCTTGAATTGCAATGTAATGAGAGTGCCTCTCACAAACCTTTGCTCCTAGCTCACGTACGTACACGAGTCGAATCTCAAGTTCCCATCCGTCTTTGTCCTCACAGGAGACGGACTCAGAGCCACTGGGACCTGTTAAATGCTAAAATGCGTTCGATTCTTAAGATCGACTCCTCATTTCACGACAGAGACAATTTTTTAAAAAAATCATTTCGTAAAAGATCAGATCAAACTGAAAATTAACATCCGATCATTTTGCATAACAGCAAATAAAATGTAAAACAGAGAAATATAAATGTACATTAAACTTGCGCGTAAGCAAATTTACGCATTTATCTGTATCTGATAAAGATATTCGCGTTCTTTGACGTTTTCCTGCGATTACGCGAGGCAAATTCAAGAGACGCAGAGCTAAGGTAAAAAGGTGAAACGTAGCTCTACAAAAAAAAATTGTTCACTGCTGGAATTTTAAGCAACATTTTACATTTACATTAAATATCGGTATAATACTTTTGAAATTTGAACTTACGTGTGCCTTCGTCACTTGCAAAGACGGGACAAATCTCAAGGCAACGCTCAGAAAATTCAGCCTCCAGCGCGCAAGGCCCGGAAACCTCCCCCTACTGCCAGCTCTTGTGAACGCCGACTCGACTGTTAATCATACATAATTACGATATCCACTTGCAGATCATATACACAGGGCCCCATGAAGAAGTGGCTCTGCACGCGTAATTAGGTTGTGATTAGACTCTTCAATTACAGTAATTTTCTGTTCCCTTCTCTAGATCCGATAATTTACAATGGGGTGAAGAAGAATTCCTTTTAATCGGAGTAAAAGGGTGAAATTGGACTCTCCGTATCAATATCACCGCTGAGAATAAGGATACAGAAATTTTATAAAGAGCACAGTTATTCGATCGTTCGTCTTTCTGAACCTAATTCTAACAGAGATGAGGGAGGAAGGACGTGTAGAGAGCATGAGGAGATGAGAAATGAGTACAAAAGTTTTGACCGGAAAACCTAAAGGGATGAGAAAATTAGGAAGGTTCATGGGCAGATAGGAGGATAATATTAAAACGAATCTTACAGAAATAGGTTTTCAGGGTATGGATTGGATTCATATATAGTTCAGGTGGCCGATTCTTGAAAACACAGTAATGAACCTTAGGATTCTATAAAGGGCAGTGAAATTCGTGACCAGCTTAGAAACTATTAGCTTGTAAGGAAGGACTCCGTCCTGTCGGGTTCGTCTCATGTAGGGTGCCAGTACAGATGTGAAAATTGTTACATCGATTATTTCCTTAAACAGCGTTAACCAGTTGATCTTTGTAATGGTGAAGAGTTGTGTTTTCTTCGCGGTACGGACTGGTTTCTTAAATGTTACGTAGACGAGTTTCGGCTTCAAATGGTTAACCAGTTGATCTCTTTAATGGTGAAGTGTGGTGCTTTCTTCGCGGTACGGGCTGAATTCTTAAATATTGTTTAGGGGATTGTCCGCCGTCAGAAAACGTGGCACGAAAAACTTATAAATACCCGAAATAACGATTACGTAATTAAAGTTGCAGTTTTGTTTGCACGAAATACTTTGTACACAAAGTTTAAAAACCTTTATCAATGGAAAACCAGCAAAATGTATCAGAAAAGTTACAAAGCTGTTATATAGAGCATATTAAAATGCTTATGAGATATAATAGTACACGAAATATAGATGGGACTTTTAAGTATACGTACGCCTTGGATTTAATGTCCCTCATCACATAACACAGCGTAGCGGAGGCTGGATATACGACACATCACGAAAGAATCATATTCCCTTAATCTGATCCCTAGGTAGTGCAGCAATGTCGTAAGAATATAAGACTACCCATCATTCCTCGCTTCTACGCCATTTGTTACTACGCGCCCACCTGAGTCTTCATTTTACAGGAATGCTACAGCATGTCTCAGAACCTAATCACACTTTTCGTGCTGTTCTGCCTTTCTTTTTAACTCACATGTATTTCCATCGCTTCAAACAACAAATTCAGAGTTAGTCACAATTAGGTCCCAATGTAAACAATTCATAATACTAAAGCGATCATGGCTGCGGATATGGACAGCTTACAAGAAAATGTAACTCGCCGCCCTCATGATGAAGGCAATAAGTACCTCTGAAACGTCGGTACACTTCTACGAGACTACACGGCGTTGCAACACAGAAGACATCCATCTTAATAAAAATTAAATTCTAAATACAAACTTGAAGTTTCCTCCAATATGATGTGCTTCGTATTATATCAGAAATTCTGTTCATTTCAGAGCGATAATTTCTTAACTACGCGGTCTTAATTTTGACTCACCCTGTATTCCCCAAAAAAGATCACTTTCAGAAGATCGCAGTCCATTAGCTGGTCAAGAAATTACGCGTCTGTAACGGAACCCGAAGATTCGTCGGGGAATCCCCACGGAGGGATTCCCCACGTGTTTTCGTAACTTTGATTTCGCAATGGAATTAGTGTCACACCTCAAAAACGTGTTCCTGCTATGGTGAATAAGAAAAGACAGCTCATCTCTGGGAATGTGACAATGCAGGAGCGATTGTGGCAACAAGGGTCCAGGAATGTGGCGCTTACCTTCCCAACGCCGGTGACCTCCTTAACGCCAATGCGGCGAAGCAGCGCGGGTGGGACGGGAGGCGGGGCCCTCCGCATCGCGGCGCTGAATCCCGTGCCGACGTCTTCCTCTCCAGAGGAGTGACGCTTCCGTCGATGTGGTGATGACGTAAGATTCATCTTCTGCGCCGCCCTGCACATAGAACACGACGTACTATTAGAGAGGCGATGCTCCGGTCTGCGGTCAGTACAAACACCGAACGAAGTTATTTAGGGCTACTCTTCAGTTTGTATTCACTAATAAAATGATCACCCTGTATTTGCTGCTAAAATCTAAAACATTACAGCCCTCTGTCTGCAGTTCGTTGTCTTCCGTCCTGTTTGCCTTGTCGTTTCAAGGACCCCATACAAGACGTAACACATAACCTATCGTCACATCGAAATATAAATTTATATTAACCAGGCATTAATGCATAAAGCGATCTGTGTGACACTTGTAATAAACATCATTATGCAGCACCAGTACGGTCATTAACATAAAAGCTGTCTGACGTCACATCCCTTCATTTTAAAAACCTGAATATGATAAAAGTAAAAATGATTCAATGTTTTTCATCTTGCAGTGAGCACATTTTATGTGCCAGTGAAGACTACGAACTGCCTGCCCTCTTACCGCACTCGCTGTTTATGAAGTTATTAAATTTTCATGACAAAATCAGTAGTTAGACCACAAAGTAAGAGTTTATAGCATGTATGGCATATTAAATAAGCAAATTTACAGTCTGAGTACAGTCTATTTAAAAAGAACAGAGCGAAAAAGTGGTTTTCTAGCCGTTTAACATGTGCATGTAATCGTAACCACCTTTAAGGAAAGTGTTTATCGTTCTTTGAAAAAAAAAGAATGTCTTTCCGATGCTACATCGTCAGAGTCCTCTGTCATGCACCGGGTCACAAGGACTCCAGGTGCGTCGCGTATAGTTGGACCTCAATCGAGATACCGTGGTTGGGAGAATAATATTAAAAGCGAGGATCGCAAAAGAAATAAACCGAGAGAGGGGAATGTAGGGAGGGAGGATATAATTACATTTCAGGGTTCATAAAACAAGGTATATGAGTGCGTGATAAGATATGACCTCAATTTAAGATGGAGAAATAAGCATTTCATACGGTAGAGGATGGATTATTTATACATGCAACGACTTTAGGCTAAAATAAAAAAATCCAGGGTTCTTTTCTGGTCTAGAAACACGTTAAGTCTGACCATAGACACACAAAAAAGACAGTAGAAAGCCGTTCCTAAGGACGAGAAGTAGAGAAATGAGGGGGTGGGGAGACAGGCTTTTCCAATTTCACACGTCTGTGCTTCTGTAACATGTAACCACACCTCCTCACTACCCAAGGGGCAAAAACACCCACACCTTCAGGGGGAGGACCCCCCTCTAATGGCCCACTGAATTCAACGTAGCGTGCACTACACAGGCTTCTAATTCCTGCAGCCAACACAGAATGCTTATCACATGTTTACTGAGCAAAAAAAAAGCATGAATGAATCTGCAAATATCTGGGAGATCTTTACAAGGGGCCAAAATAGGGTTCGTCGCCCCGGAATCCTTTTCCTGCAGATGCAATTTCAATTGCAAAAACTCTTGGAAAAAAGAACGGTTTCTGAGTATTTCGAAGTTAGTGCTGTAAGTTTGCAGTTACTAAAGCAATCAACAAACACTCCTGAGAACACGGGAATCAGGCTTCATGCCGACATGTTCACGGCTCTTTACAATCTGATAGTCAAGACATACCTCGTGTTTAAGGGAACCCGAAGGCTCATACCTCATACTCTCATAACCTAGCTTCATAAGATACATCTTAATGTTATCCTTATATATTTTCATTTACGTCACTTCAAGGTTTCCTGACTATAATTTTTCATGTATTAATAATCCTCCAAACGTATCAGAGAAGAAATGTAACAGAATTCGTATCAACAAGACTGAAAAACTGTAAGTACAGTCATCCCAAAAGCGTTCTTCGCGGGCACATTACATAGGTCGTTGTTGCACAAATGTGATCCCAGGTCCCACTGTTGTGCAGTGATGGTTTCCGACAACCGGACCTCAAGTCTTATTGTCGCAAAAGACAGGCGTGGACAGGCCCGCAATGTGTTCTGTGCTCACGCTACAGCGCGGAGGGAACATAATAAAATGTTATCGACGGAAATGTCCGCCAATATAATCTGATGGGTACAAGACGGCGAGAACCCGGTATTTATTTATTTAGTGTTCTGTCTGACGACAGGTCCATATGAACAGGATCCTTCCATCCTTTTCTCGGACTGGGACCTGTTCATATACGTTCTTGGCAGATGATCCAGAAGTGGTTTGCCATTGCCTTCTTCTGTGTGTGAATGGAGTAATTGTTGGGATGCCACGGAGGAAAACTCCGTGTTGCCTAGACCACGGCCTTGCCCAACACAAGTTATAAATTCGGGCACCGCCGGGAATCGAACCCGAGACCCCAGGATACAAGGCCAGCGTTCTAACCGTTAAAGGCGCGATTGTAATCCACATTATGATACTGAATTTTTAGCAAGTTTTAATCTGAATCGAGTTTGTATTGTCTGAACGCGGATTACAAGACAACAGGTCACATTCCTCCGAACACAATAAAGTAACAACACGTTACTTAGGATGATAAAATAACACGTGTTAACCTCGCCATAATCCCCGACTGCCAACACGCACTCACTCGCCCGACTTTATGGAAAAGTAATTAACTTCCTGGAAAACACAGGAGTCCTGAGCAAGACAGTTTAAAACTTACAAACTCCGAGCGAGTTTCCTTCAACCTTCCACCCCTTCTAGAACGCAACCCCCATTTATCAACAGCGATCCATCATTTTTAAGGGATTCGTCTGCCTCTGACTTCCTTCAGGAGGGTAATCCGAGGTCCGTCGAGCCCCTGAATACGGCAGAACGCGTTGTTTACCGGGAGGAAGCCACCTGACCCCTCCGCATAAACATTTCAAAGCTGACACATCCACATACAGAGGACACTAGTCACATCGGACACTCGAACACACTAAATCAGACGCGCGCAACACAGCATCCGTATTTATGGGCGCAGTGGGAAGGTTCAAGTAACAGAATGGCGATAAAACCCTGAAATATTTGATAAAGCTACTAGTATTGTTTACTTGTTACAAGTCATATGTTGCTGGGTTTATCGTTTTCATAACTGACTGCTGTATTTTCATCCTACGCCATTTCATCTTCAACTGCGTACAGGCGTCGAGGTCTCGTGGACACTGCGAACACTTCGCCACCTGAGTAGCTCTTGGATTCTCAAGAAAGAGCTGATGTTTGTATTATGAGTAGTAATGGACCTGTGTAAAGACACTAACGTTTCGGAAGAGGATTTTGCATCCATCTTCAGGAGTACACAGAACTCTTTTGAATCTACCCACATGCTTTTATCACCATACTGAAATGTCATTGTCCACTAATTTTCACGCCCTCTGACCACAAAAGTTCACAACTGTCCGACATTGGTCACAGTTCAGAGAATCACGGATCTAGTCTGGATCTTCATAACCTAGCGTATGTCTATAAGATCCATCTTAGTGTTATCCTTCATTCACACTTATAACTTTCCCAAATGGTCTTCAAGCTTTTTGGATTTCTCATCCCCCCCGCACAGAAGAATTAAGGACAGGAATAACAGAGATCAACAACAAATCTTTGGATCACACTGACATTTCAAAGGACCACAAAATCACAACTCAGAATATGATACCCAAAAGGGCGCATATGAGGGAAGGTCCACATTGCTTACATTTGCCGTCTTTTCCAGCAGAGCAAACGTAGATTTTGATGCAAATTAAATCTGACTTTGCGTCTCGCAATTTTGACGAAGGGCATAGAGCAGTTCTTCATGTATTAGTGAGGATATTTGACAGCAGCGACACAACTATTAGCCAAGAATCTTCAGCACGTTCGTTAGAGCAACGTTACAGCCAGGAACGTGTTTTGGTTGTATTATGCCACCTAGACGACAGACTGAGGGTAAAATCGGTATATATCGCAAACAGAATCATTATGCAACAAGAGATCTCTGCTATATGGACCAACAGCTAACCCGAAGCGTCGAATTTACAAAATAAATTAAATACTGAAAACAATGTTAATTGCCGTGTTCACATCAATGAGAAACCAGCCGCTGTAATTAGGCAGATGAATATATTTCATTAGCCCTTTGAGAACCGAAAATCGTCGAAACGATATTTAAGTATTCAGTCCGTACCGCGAAGAAAACACCACATTTCACCATTAAAAAGATCAACCGGTTGGCCACAGCTGTTTTGAGGACGATAACGCTGGGCGCTGATTGGAGGGATCGTCCAATGGCTACTCGATTATAGGAACGATTTGAATGTCGAAGATCTCACGTCAGTAGAAGTCCTGATACGTCGTTGCTGTGCCCTGCGCTGTGAGGTGGGAGGGGGGGTGGCAGGAGGCAAACAGGTGGGGCAACATGAACACACTGTGGTAGCATGCAAGATGGCGGTGTTGATACCGTTGTTACAAAGTGATGGATTGGGGAGGGCTGCCTCCTTATTATGGTCAGAGTGCCGTCGGCCCTGCTGCACGTAAGCCAACCCTCCGGGTACACCCTCATAACTGTCGTACGCTCAGATTATCGGCATTACGACACTGGACGCATTGCTTTTATTACACCTTGAATGTCATTCTAATGGTATCATTTAAACGAAACCAAGGTAAGCAAAATATGTGGAACGGTAAAAATAAAGCACTCAAGCTATAGCCAGAAAGTTCGCATCCCATTAGCCCCGGATCAAACCTTGAAAAATATTCAAATGTCCTTCATCAAACCCAGTATCTTTGAAGTAAGCCGTTTAAAAGAGTATTCATGAGATGATAATGTTGCGTCATATTGTGATGATTATAATTATTTAATTTTAGCCGTCTAATCACAATAAAATATTTTATTGTGATTAGACGGTTAAAATTAAACAAGAGTATTCATGCTTCCTCACATTTATTTGTGGTTCATATGACGACGTTGTCATTAGATGAGATTTTTCTGCGTCGAGTGACAGAATGATTAATGAATTTGAAGGGATATGGAAGGAGGCGGACGTGGCCTATTTTGTGCATATCCTATCGCATGATGCGTGTG